ATATTTAACAGTTACATCATTTAATTTTATATAGTCTACGCTAAAGCGTGTTGATCCATCTTTCTTGGTAACCAAAACTAAGGGGAAAACCCACCCAGAAGCTATTTGATGGCTCAATAATTTTCTGTTCTAGCATTTTCAGTATCTCTTGCTCTTCGACTTCTCGTTTCCCACCTGGTTGTCTTGTTGGCGTATAGGGGCAGCGTGAAGGGTATTAATATGGTGCTGCACTCTGTCAGTACGCCCTAGATCGTCTTTTGATTTTATAGAAAAAATTCTGATACTTAATGAGTAGTTCTAAGAAGGCTTGTTTTTCATCGTTTTTCAAAAGTTTGTCTTCTTTGCAATAATTCTTCGAGATGCCCAGGCACTTTGTCTGGAACATCATCTGCACTGTGCATAAAAACTGAAGCACATTTATGTTCTGTTGTTTCTTCTGTGTATACTGGTTCACAAGAGCCCAGCTTCATATTTGGATATACGCTAACATCTGAGTCATTTTCATTGACGACCTGCAATACGTTACATTCCCTTCTTGTGTCAATTATGCCCTGAACGATGAACGATATATAAATGTTCTTTTTCAAAGAGCTCATTGTTTGATTCAACAAGTCCGATATCCGAAAGGTATTCAATTCCTGGTATCATGACTGGTAGCCACATGTAGGAGTTAGCAGGTATAGTAATGGTACATTTTGCAACAACTCTACATGACATTGAAACTTCTCCCCCAATCCAACATTGTATGTCAGCATACTTTGTCTGAATAGTCAGGTTCTTGTAGTCAATTTTACTGGCAAAAGTAGGCATAAAATCTTGTCCAATGATACCCCCGAGGATAATGGTATTACGGCATGCTTCGAATGTCGGCACAGTAATATACAGAAAAATCATACATATTGTTGCCCGGGCATTATTCAACCTGAAAGAGAAACCCAATATATTTGGACCATCTAGGCTATTTCTATGATTTGATTGACTGTTGGATTGACCGAGAGGTTACAAATTTACAAAAATATGGTTGTTTCATGAAAAAAGCTGGAAGTGATTCAAATATCAGTGATCGACATTGCATTTATGGTCTGATTCATATGATTCACCTCCATGTTGTGAATGAGGGGAATGGCAGATGACGCAAGTATCTTTCCTGTTCCTCCTCCTACCCTTGCTCAAAGATAGAAGAATGTAGAAAAGCAGCATTATTCCCATTCCACTCTTATTAACACATCCCCTTTACACCTATATGCAAAAGTGAGTTTCATTCCACCTGGAACATTTGCAACCAAATTCCCAAACCATTGTCCAAGGACCATTTAAATTATTTCGCAGTTTGAAGTTTATCTTATACTGTGTTATAGGAGTTGAATGACATTGCATATGAGCACCCATGTCAATAGGGCAGAATAACATCTAGCTGTCTCTTATCAATTTGCTCGGTTTAAGGGATGATGGCTACAATGAAGTTATGTGATACTGTTGCAGGGCAAAGGTGCGTCCAAGTAACTTGCCAACTGTATGCTTTGTAAAGCTTACAGACGAGTCCAGTTTCAGAATTTAAAGATTTAGTTATTTTCTCATTTCTTTTAAAGATTTGGTTATTTTCTCATTTATCTCAAAACTCCATAAGGGTATAGTAAAATAAAACTTTCAGGTAAAATTAGCGTGGCATATATAACAAAACTCATCAAAATTTGTGGAGCAATCTCCCTGAGAAATTTATTGCTCACCGTATATGCATGTATAACTAACTGTTCATAATATGTATGTTTACTTAAGTATATGCAGGGCCGTAAAGAGCGATCACAAGCCCTGGGGTAAGAAACATACAGGCTTCTCCTAGTTCTTGTTCAAGCAAAACTTTTATTTTATAAAATTAAAAAATGTTGTTCGGCCCAGGCCCCCTTACGGGCCTGGAGACATATCCCCGCCCCCCCCCCTCTTTTTTTTATTTCGTCGTCCCTGAGAATATGTATGTATCAAAATCGGTCACCATCAATTAATGTTACAAGGTTTACTATAGATGTAGATACTTGCTGATGGGAAGTCGGAGAAATGCAAATAAAGACTATATAATATATTATTTGTGTCATATATCTAAAATAATGAGATCTTAAAGCCCAAAGACGTTTGCAAGATTATGAGTTACTTAGACAAACGAATGTACATTTTAATAATATACAGTATTGGCCAAAGTTCACATTAATAAATATGCCATATATTTCTTTCATTTTTGCCATAATTATGAATTGCATTAGTTTTATATGAATAATGTAAACCAGTCATCACAACTAAAAACAATATGCTGCTACCTTTTGTAATTTAAAAAAGCATAATGTATGAGAATTACAGATTCTTAAGGATGGATCTCATTCCTAATATTTGCAAATTTTTGTAGTACTTCTCTCTCTCTCTCTCTCTCTCTCTCTCTCTCTCTCTCTCTCTCTCTCTCTCTCTCTCTCTCTCTCTCTCTCTCTCTCTCTCTCTCTCTCTCTCTCTCTATATATATATATATATATATATATATATATATATATATATATATATATATATATATATATATATAAAACAATGTATTGGAATTACACTGCGCATATTAAAACAGTCTCCGCTTTAGTTTTTTTTTTTTTAAATAATAAAAAATCCACTGCTAAACAAAAGAAATAAACTCTTTACCTAATCGTCTACACTGCCACATTTGGTGGTTATAGTAATTAATCACGAATCGAAGTTTACACCCCTTCCTCCAGACCCTCAGTTTTAAACCACCACGCATAATAAATAGGTTAGTCTTGTCAAGTATGGCGGCCCTGTTATGAGCACGGGCCAATGAAAATCGTTATTTATAGCATCCAGTGGTTTACGGCTGTTTCAGCTGTGTGGTGGTTATGAATCACGAGAAACTGTATTCTGTATTATTTTGAATGTGCATGTCTACCCATACAGTCATCGGACAGAAAGAAGTCGGCGGAAGAGAAGAGGCCCACTTTAAAATTTCAGCTCCAACCGACCCACGGTGTGGACACAGAACTTATTCAGGTAAGCGATTGCCGAAATATAATATAGTGAATTGCTACATAATAATTGCTTTACTGGGTGAAGCGGTATTTTTTTTCCCCAGGAAAGATTATCAGAAACATTTACACAGTACCTGCGGGACCACTGCTGGTTAATGTGATTACATCTGCAATTTGATTTGAATAGGTCTGCCGTTGAGTGATAAGTAATTTTATCCTGAGTTCAGGGTGCAGTAAATGGTATGTGCACCGTATCCGTTTAACGACAGACGACAATTCAATTAATCAAAGCGTGTCCAATTTTTTTTCTTTCTTATTTAATAGTATTATATATGTAGATCAAATACGATGAAAAGTGAAATGCGCACTGAAAAAGGAAAGTAAAAAAGTAGAAAAGTCGGTGAAAATATAAAACCAATACCTCGTTTCCATTTTTTCGTGGTTGATAGTTGAAATTCTCCACCTTATGGACTTTGGTTATTATATTTTGAATGAAAATATTATAATCACAATGTATTTGTCTTGTAACGAGAGAGAGAGAGAGAGAGAGAGAGAGAGAGAGAGAGAGAGAGAGAGAGAGAGAGAGAGAGAGAGAGGGGGTATGTTCATAAGTATGAACATAGATATGGCTATTGCACTGCACTATCATATAGGGCCTAATAGCTCTTGAAAAAATATATTAGATTGTGTTGTTAACAATGGTCTACGACTTAAATGAAGCTGAGTGAAATTGCCTAACTTTGCCAGATTCCTCAAAATGCTCTTCCTCTTCCCATGATCATGATTTGTTTTCAACTTTCCATCCATGTCATCTAGTAAGAAAGAGTACAACATTGGTATATCTAGCATGTTCGCTTTTAGTTCAGATTGGTGCACTTACTATGCATATATTGCACATGAACTAGTTAAATCGTACATAAAAATTGGCTCAGTATGCCAGTCGATATGTTGTTGTTATGGGTTTATAACGCCATTTTTCAGCACAAAATAGACTCATACATGGCGGTCAGTATACCTGGTGGAAGATGGACCAGGGAGAATCCTTGGAAGAATCACAAACCCATGGGGGTGCAAATGATATGCTTTCTTACATATCCACATTGACTGAGTATCAGACTCGAATCTACGCGAAGAGAGGTGAGATATCAGTGATCTATAAAGGCGAGCGCCTTAGACCACTTATGCCAGGGACTCCAGTCTATCAGTAGTTTGTTCCATCAAATCAATAGTGTACATTTATTTTTCGTACTCTGCGCAAGTAAACTGCAATAGAACAATTTACTACACTGTACATAACTCTATTTCCCATGAAAACAATCAACCCAATCGATAAGCGATACTTGTATGGTGAATATTTATTTAGTGACATGTCCAGACTAAATTTAATCAAGGTATTTTCTTGCCAGCATGTATCGTGTGTCCTATTCCATTACTTACACTTGTAATTACCAGCCAGTAATATGACAACAATGACATCTCGACCCCACAAATCCGCATTTGTTTGATTTTTATTGTTGTTGTTATTTTCGGTTTAACGCCATTATTTAGCGCATGATAGTTATACATACATTGTAACTGGTGGAAGAAGAATCTCCCAAACTACGGAAACTTGATGTCAAGCTTTTTCACATACCCACATTAGCCGAGCCTGAGACTCGAACCCAGGCGGACAGAGGTGAAATTGCAGTGATTGGTAAAGGGGAGCGCTATAGACCTCTCGACTACTCAGACATTTGATTGCAGACCAGGCATTTAAATTGACTATCTTAATTATTCAGGTATTAACCACAGTAAAATTTTTGTTCTTTTCGTTCTTATAAGTGAAGAGTTTTTGTACAACGGAGTAATCTGTATCTAATCATGACCAACTAACCTACCTACGTATCCTACAAAATACTTGCTTGTCAGTGTCTACTTAAAATTGATCTAGCTGTTCTGCCTAAATGACTATACTCAAAAACATACTAGTCCATACCAAGGCAAACCGCTCATGTGGCTTAATGGTTAGAGCGTCCGCCTCGGATGCGGGAGGAGGTCGTGATTCGATCCCCGGTCGAGTCATACCAAGGACTTTAAAAAATGGTACTAACAGCTGTCTCGCTTGACGCTCAGCATTAAGAGGTTAGTGTTAGGTCTGGTCTTACTGGTGACAGGATAATGTGACTGGGTGATGCCGCTGTGCTAGACATCAAACTGCCACACTGCAGACATCGTAGCGATATGACTGAAAAATTGTTAAAGCTACGTTAAAAAGTATAAACACCACACCATCCCATGACTCAACAAATACGATAACAGCTTGCTCATGAGGTATTTGCCCTTGAAGTTTTTTTAAATTGCCCGAAAAAAATAACAAAATTATATATATATATATATATATATATATATATATATATATATATATATATATATATATATATATATATATATATATATATATACGACTTTACGACTTTCCATTTCTTGTTATTTTTGTTTAAACGTCTCGCCCAGAAGTAAAATTATCTGAAAAAAACTCTTAAATAATACAGGTAGGTAGTTATGTAGACGAGGAAGGAAAGGCTTGCTGGTATGGAAATATTGTTAAATGGGCCAAGACATGTATATACAAGTATACCTCCATCCCAGTGCATTACAATTTTTTTTTTAAAATAAAAATCAGGTTAACCATGGCGAAGTTGCACTTGTGGGCTTTTAGCTTACCCGAATATATTATAAATTATCATAACCAAAGCCAAAATTACATGGTAAAATAAAATATAAGATGTTTTAAGTAAACTGCTGTGTTCATTCTTCAAATATTGAATTTCATTTTCTTATTTTTATTCTCACCTTAAAACATTTAGTTGATACGTAAGGTTATCGAAAAACACACTTAAACAACACGTATTGTAGGTAGTTATGTGGATGAGGAAAGAAAGGGTTAGATTGCAAATATAGCGAAATGAGCAAAGACAAGCATATAAATGTATACCTGAACACTGATAAATGGATAGATGGATAAATGATTTAAATATTGCTAGATTGTTAGGAGAGAGGGGAGGGAATTTCGGTAAATGTTCTAAAACTGAAATATTGAAGAGCTAAGAAAAAAAGTGTTCCAGTTAATGTTAGTATTGTTGTAGTTTTGTTTGCCTTTCCACTTAAAGTTTCATTATGAAGTTTAATTATCAACCTTATCAATAAATAAGGTAATACCCATTTCCACACTGAAATATTTTAGTATAAATGAATTCCGTCTGTGCTTTTTAATGGGGACTCCTCGCATGTCTGCTTCTGCATCCATGTCATCTATTTTTCACATCAAAATTGGTGGCATGCAGTCTCAATCGGACTTTTCACAATGATTTGAGAGTAATTAATTGCTAAATGTAATTATTTGTCAATCAGTAAGTATCGGTTCTCTGCAATGATCATATACCGCAATTCTCACTTTTAAGTTCAGTCTAACCTCAAACAGCACGGAGACAGATCTGCCGGCGTATAATGCACATACTAATTAGGGAGTGTGCAGTTTGTTAGGTCTAATTAGTAGAACAAGCAAGATAGACCTGGTCTACAGGCATGGGCGCCCGCAGCATGGGTCAAGGGAAGTCACGTCACTAGACCCACCCCCTGGAAATCATACTGTGTGTGTGTGTGTATATATATATATATATATATATATATATATATATATATATATATATATATATATATATATATATATATATATATATATCCTGACACACACCCATTCCCTTGCAAAAAAAAAATCCTGCATGCGCCCATGTCTGCAGGCGCATTATCCTATTGCTGATTATGATCTTTGTTGTTTCAATTTGATTTTACTTTTAAGCCAATAATATACCCTATGCACAGTTTATGGATGCAAGATTTCCAGATCGCAAATTATTTGAGACGAGTGTCAAAAGGTTTTTGTAAAAGAAATGTCACCCGTTATGTTATTAGCCATTATCTGATAGTCACGGCATAGACCAAAATATTGAAATGTTTAGATTCGGTAATCTCTGCACTTTCGGAGCTTACAAACTGTCACCTTACGTTAGGACTTGAAAGTCGACAAAGCACACACACACACATTGGAATAATGTGGTACATACAATTCGGAAATAAAGGTTATGATATATGTAAAGGGCAATATCGCAGTGGTGTATGAAACCTGCGGATCATAATTACAAACTGCTCTCTCTCTCTCTCTCTCTCTCTCTCTCTCTCTCTCTCTCTCTCTCTCTCTCTCTCTCTCTCTCTCTCTCTCTCTCTCTGTGTGAAGCTTATTTTGAAACTTGAGCTTGCCTCGGGTGCATTTCGCTGCACGTGCACACGCGTAGAGATTTATTGTAAATAATTTATATTTTATGTTGTTCTGTTTATTTTGTGCCTGTCGATCTCTAGCGTGCTGTCTGTGCATTTTTCCATCCATCCACCCGTCCGTATGTATGTTTATCAACCTACTTCTTCATAAGGGGCCTCGAGTGGCCGAGTGGTCTGAAGCGCTCTCCGTTAAGGAGCACTGCCATCTCACCTCTATCTCCGTGGGTTCCAGTCTAAGATTTGGTATGTGAGAAAGCTTGCCAGTAGCTTCTTGTGGGTCGGTGGTTCTTTCCTTTGATTTCCCGGTTTCTTCCTCCACCATTAATACTGGCCGTCATGTAAAGCCTATTCTTAGCTGAAAAATGGCGTTAAGTCCATAACAACAACAACAACAACGACTACAACAACAACAACTTCATATTTGATTAGTTATGAATACATAAACATAACAAAAGCAATTTATGCTTGCCAGTCTGTACATTAAAGATAAATATAAAGATCCAAAGACGAGTGCATATTAGGACTCTTGTCTTAACAGAAAGATCATATGCTATTTACAGGACAACCCGTCATTCAATATCTTATTTTAGATCATCTAGTCATAGACTATACTAGTTTATGCGATGGCCGGTTGTCTGACGTCCGTCCATTGTCTGTCCTTAAACACAACTTTGTTAACGATTGTTCTTCTGAACCACTAGGAGGAATGTCATAAAACTTTACCGAAACCGTCATTCAAAGGTCTTGTTTGTTATGAATCATAATATTGCCACTGGGAAATACAATATAGCCACCAAGGCAGCCATCTTGAATAAATTGTTATAGCCACTTTTTATGAACTGTTGGTCATATCAGTATAGGTTTTCATTGAAAGACTTTTTATTCTTTTTATTTGGCCTTAAATACAAACGGTACTGATCTTACATACAGAATGGTAATATCAGCATGGGGATTTAACTGAAAGACTTCTGATGATGTATATATTGGTGTCCAAAATGAAGACGGTTCTGATCAGATACAGCTGACACAGCGGGCATCTTGAATATCGTTTTATGGCTACTCCTTCTAAACTACATCTTGCTAGTATGGGGATGTAGAATAGGTCCGATCCAGCAATCCCTTGGCTCTGTAGTTAGCTTTCTGCTTTCACGACCGAAACGGTGCAGGCTTGAATCCTGTCATTGGATCAGTATGGGTTTTGCTATTCTGGTGTGACCATGGACAAGACATTTTTCTCTGTTTTCCTCGGTACTGAATTGTAGACATTGTTATTGTACCGTGATGTACAAAACCAAAACTGCAGAACCAATGGCCATAACGAAATAGCGTTTTATCATAAATATTTCCTGTCATCTGCTGTTCCTGCTGGCCCTAAATGAAAATGGTGTCCATCTCATTTCAAATAGATCCGCCATGATGACCATCTTGAAAATATTGTTACCGCTATTCCTCCCTTACGGTTGATCTTATCGAAGTTTAATTTTAAATGCAGAACTTCCTTTGATTATTGGTCCTAAACGAATATCGTGCCTACGGGTATATTACTTCAATATATATGTTTTCAGTAGAAGACCTCTTATGCTAAGTAGCTTCAATGAACATTGTGCCAATTTGACATTCAGTATGAATACCATAGTAGCACGCTTGTATACCTTGTTATCACTAAAACGTCTGAACAAATGGCCATATCATTTGGAATTTTCACTAAACGACTTCTTATGAGGCCAAGTGATCCTAAATGAATATAGTGCCGATCTGCCCACCAGCATGATCGCCATTATGGCCAGCTTGAACATTTTTTTTTATCTCTGCTTCTTTTGAACGGATGGTATTATCAGCATGGGGCTTTTGCTCAAAGATTTCATAGGATGTCTGCCTGGCTCTAATTAAAAATGTCGCACCTCGGGTATTCAATATGACCGCAGGTACATTTTGAAAATATTACCACTTCTTAACTGATGATATCGACACGGACTCTTCACTAAGAATATTATGGTATGTAGTTTATCCTAAATGAAAGTGGTCGTAAGAAGATCTTCAGTACGGTCGCCATACTAACCATCTTGAAAATATTGTTATGGCCACTTCACTTGAACAAATGGTCATATAGACATGTGGTTTTTAACCTAAGACATGTTGTGGCATCTTATTTCGTTCAATTTACAAACAATACAGATCTATTGCTGCAATATTGAAAATGTTGCTATCATTTCTTCTCTTGAAGGAATGGTCATACCGACATTGAGTTTTCACTAAAACACTTTTAATTGTATGCAGTTGGTCGTCAGTGAAGGTGGTGGAAATGTTACCTTTCAGAATCTGAAAATCTTGTAATAGCTATTTCTCCTGACTGGATGATCATATCGACATTTTTATGAAATAAAAAAGGTCGCTTATTTTTCCTATATATGGTTATTCATATATTAAAAAGACACTGATCTAACCCCCAAAATGTCTATTGTCGGCCGTTCTTAAAATATGAGCATATGGCTGCTGATGGTCCTAATGGCATAGGGGTTTCACTAAAGGTTATCACAGTCTAGTGCTCATTTGAACTCCAGTATGGCGCCATCGTCAAAACCTTATTACTATATCTCTTGCGTAAATGGTGTCATTTATATGTGGTTTTCACTATAAAAAAAAAAACTCTTCTTGCAATAATTTAATTGGTTCTGAATGAATATGGTGTAGATATGGTCACCAACATATCAGCACTATTAGGAATGAGTTCGGAGAACCAGACCTAA